ACGTGACATGGAACAGATCTGCTGCAAGGTATTGTATGCTCAGGGTCTCCGCTGCAGTGAATCCTTGGTCCAGTATCATTTGTTTACTGAACGTTTCCGGGTTCAAGTCAGGTATACTCCCGTCCACTTCCTTCAGTTTCAAGGCTGTGGTCTTCATCCATGGCTCTAGGGTGGGTGCTACCCCATGGTTCACCCCAGTTCCCTTGCTCTTACCAGTGGAGAGGATGGCAGCAGTCCCAGAGTTCTGGGGTTTTGACCCAGTGGCTTGTTTTGTGGCAGTCTTGGCTCCTTTGGCTGCTCTCTGGGCGGTGATGGGGGAAGCGGAAAGGGTGGTTGAGCTGTTCAGCACTGAGGTTTCCTCCTCCGCAGGAGTTCCTACTGGGTGTAACGAGAATATACCCCAACACACAGGATTCAGCTAAACAGAAGACAACACAGAGGAGAGATACGTCTACCGGACCTTAGAATGGCCGGACTCGACGTATGTGAGAGGAGGCAGAGTCAGGAACGATCTGAAGTCAAGGACACAGAGAGACAGCGTAAACTAGCACTAGCCGGGGTCTGGTACACAGTAAACAGGAAGCCGACAACCAGAACAGATAAGGATAAAGAGAAAACGTAGTCAGAAACAAAGCCAAAGTCAATACGGAGAAAACACAACTGAACACAACAAGCGCTAAAGGGAACTGAAACAGAAACCACGATAGGGCAGGGAGTAAAGGGAGAGGTAAGTTTAAATAGCTTCTAAACTAATGTGATTGGCTCCTGTCATATCCATACCCCCAAAAGGTAAGTGTATGGGGAGTGTGGCATGACAGGGGCCAATGGGAGCCTTTTAACAATTTAGGCTCACACTGTCTCTTTAAGAGCTCGCCCGAGACTCGCGGCGCGCTCTTAGATTCAGGCGGAACACGTGACCGCTTCTCGTGGTCACTGCCCGCCTTCCTAGTGAAGCCGTCGGATGAGCCGCACGCGGCTCGTGCAGCAGCAGTACAGCGCGCGGCTCGAAGAGAGGACCACGTCCGGCCCCTGGATAAGGTAAGTAACGCTACACTGGGTTACCTCAGTTTTTTTCTCCTCTGCAGGAGATCCTACTACCACTCCTTCTCTGCTCCTCAGGAGTTTGCCTTGGCTCCCTTCTCCACAGAAGGCCCTACAGCCTCGGCTACTCGCTGCGCGGTGGGATGCGCCGCCTTGCTTTGGAATCCTCCAACGCAGGAGGTCCTAATTCCGCTGCTTGGCATTTTTCCTCCACAGGAGATTTGTGCTGCCTAGGCTTCCTTCTCTGCAGAAGGCCCTACAGCCTTGGCTACCCGCGCCGCAGTGGCTTGCGCTGCCTAGCTTTGGAGATCTCCTCCACAGGAGATCCTAGTTCCACCGCTTGGTCTTCTCCTCTGTCGGAAGTTGCGCTGCCTTGGCTCCCTTCTCCGCAGAAGACCCTACCGCTTTGGCTATCCGCTCTGCAGTGGGTTGCGCTGCCTCGCCCAGGATTCTTCCTCCGCAAGAAGCCCTACTTCCGTTGCTCGGCTTTCTCCTCCGCAGAAGCCCAGTCTATGCAGCCCTCTGGATTCACTGCCAGATCAAGCCTCAAGAATGTTAGGAGTCCTTCACCAGTATAGAATCCACTCTGTGTTGGGGAACTCCAGCAGTTTCACCTGGTTTGCCTGGGGCAAATCTTTGTTGCTTCGGCTTTCTTCTCCACAGAAGGCACTACTATCCTAAACCTCAGCAACCCGTGATCGCATGCGTATAGCACTGCTGTTCGGATACTGTATCTGGTCCAAACCAAGAGGCCTCTCTGGTTCGATCTTCCCCCAATAGAAGCAGGTAGCTAAAGCCAGCTAGGGCGATGCTACAGGGCCGAGGGAAGATACTCCAAAGCACCTAAAGGCTAGGCACAGAACCGATACTACACTTGATCTTAGCCAAGAAGCGATCAGCTAGATTTGATCTCTATTCGAGTCTTCAACAGGTTTTGCTGTAAATATTCTAGAGATACTGATAGAGACTGAGTCACTGGGATTACAGAGAGTAACAGGGTAGAAGGTGTGAGAACCTGCTTTATATGGGGGAAGCACAATGTGGACAATGGGTGGCCATTTACAGGTGTGGCAGTAGGTCGGGCTCCCTGATTGGCCAGGTATGGGTGTGTCTACTGATATGTAAATTACAATGTATTCTCATTACTTTGTGCTAACTGACAAAACCAGAGAAGTGAACAATATGAATGGAACAGTTTTTGTGTAGAAACCAAATACAAGACTAAAGTTATAATTCATTATCCGATATCTATCTAGTATTAAATCCTTATCTTCACATTAATATATCACTCTTTATATCAGGTTCTAACATTATCTTAAAATAAAGTTAACCAAGGATAGTCAATAGAAACTATTTGAACTGTTTGAAATTTAGTTTGGAATCCCCACTCATTCATGTAAGGGTTTGGCTTAATATCTAATGGAATGTTAATACCTGAAGATTAAAATAAATTTGTATATTTAAAGAACTGTCTAAACTTTGTATATTTTTTGAAATATTTTACATAAATAACCTTGTGGTTTTGAAAACATTTACCCTGTATTTAGGAATATTAACACACATTTTATTACAATAGTGTATACACACCCCAATATGCATAAATGGCAGACTATGAATTATAATGTCCTAGTATTTAGTATCTGGTTTAAAAAGTGTGTAGATATTTATTGTTTGATATGGTAAACCCGAGAACTGGGGATAAACAATAGTTCTATTTAATCTTTCTAACATCCCAATTGTGTTATGTAAAGGGTTTGGGTGTGTTATAGAAACTGGTAGAAAATAACCATCTGTGTCCACCAGGGGGCAGATCTACATAAAAAGGTGAGTGGACATTTTATTTCCTGATCTGCCATATGGTCTCAAAGGCAACATAGGCCCAGCAAACCAATCTTGAAAATTTCAATGGGCAAGCTCTTTATTTGACCCTCTAACTTTCCAAAACACCATAACAAGAGGAGAGCGGGGGGCATCATTGTACCCATGGGATATCACAACATACAAATGTGTGTTTTATTGCAGTAAAAGCCAAGAGTTTTATGACATTACCTGTAAAAATGCCATGCAGAACTTTGATAATTGCAACATTTCCTAATTTCTCATTTTTATTCATTTTATATAGTTCCATATATAAATACTTGATGTGACATGAAAGCCCTGTTTTCCCTGAACAAAATGATATACAATAAGTATGGGTGCACTTAATATGAAAGAGGTGAATTACGGTTGAACAGACATATAGTCAAAGTCCAGGTTTTGTTTTTGTACAATTACCTCAGTCCTTAATGGGTTAAAAGTCACAATAATTACCTATTTCCTTCAATTTAGGGTTTCCCTGACAATATTTATTTTGATCCAAAGTTTTCATAACTAAAACATTTTTTAACCCAAATTCTCCAGAAACATGAAGTTACAGAAACCAATCAATTCGGCAGAACAAAATCAATTCGGAAAAAACCCAAAATGTTTCACCACATACAAGTCTGTTGTTTCATGATAATGTATTTCTTAACAGCAATAGATAGCTAAACAGTAGGTTAACACAGCCTTAACATTCCTGAAAACAGAAACTAATTTAACTTGAAAACAACCAGAACCATTAAATGATGAAATCATAATCGCACTCCTTAAACCATCCTATGTCTCTTAATCTTAAAGAAAGATACAATCCCAGGGGTGACATTTCACATGCAAGGGCTAGCTTTCTACAATTTTTTTTAAAATCCCAATGCTTGTAAGGCATTGTTCCTATTTAATGATTGTATCATATTAGATAGGTTACAAAGAGCAGAATTAATATTATTTAACTTGCTAATACACTCAGCACTGCTGCATTTTGGAAATCCTTCTGCATAGCCAGCTTTACCCTTTCCTAAAGTCATCCATATCATCTGAAATTGATAAGCGCAGATGAAAGTAATTTATCCTTATTGTTGGTCCATGGGCCAAGGCAGGGAAGAGCTATCCACCAGCTTCCTCCTCTTCGACAGCATAGCCACCTCCTGCTGTTTCTCTCTGCACATTACATTTTCCAGCCAATGCTGAGCTGTTTGCCAGTCTTCTTTAGCTCCTTTGACTTCTTATCCACATGGTGTAATAAATTTTACACACATACAACGTCCTCCAGCCTATCATGATAATGCAGCTCCTTCTAAATGGACCGCTCAACCTTTGGAACATTGTTTCATGGAGAAGGGGATAGAGCAGCAAGCAGGCATGTTCCTAACCAGTCGTGTCCTCCATGCTGCCTCTCCATGCTGCCTCTTCTAAAAGATGGTCCATCTTCAGCCGAAGGCCAAGAATAGGAAGGCAGTGGTGATTATAGTGCATTGATTAGCTCTGAGCGCTGACTCAGCTTCAAGCACCGGTCAGCAAAAGCAGGTCAAACTGTCAAACTGGTACCCAAACATTCTAAACTTGTGCTAAATACACCCGAGCCAATAAAATGTAAGTTATCTGCAGAGTCACACACCTTGAACTAGTAAAAACCGTAATAACTTAACTCAATATGGACTGAACCTAGCAGGGCTGCGTGTGATGTTTGTGGGCATAAATCCCAGAGCAGTTTATACTTTATTTGAAAATGAACCTTAAAAAGACTCTCAGTCCAGGAAACTTGGAGATCTTTAAGACATATAATTACTCACCCAATGCACATTACCCAATGCACAATGCATGAGGCACTTACAAACATCCTTTCCAAAAAGGTATGTTGCCTTTTACCATCTGCTGATTTTTTTTCTATCCTTTCTTCTCTTTTCTATCCACCTCTTTTCTCTCTTTAGTTCTATAAAACAGTCGCTCTTCTGTTGGACACATTTTCCACACATATATACTACATCAATGAAAATATTAATCAAGCTTTTATTACAATAAATAATGACAGAATAAATAAAATAAAAAATGACAGATGTTAATATGTTTACTCCCGCAGAGTCCATCCTTTTCTGCCTCAATGTTCAAATCCAGTCGGCCACCCAGTCGAAATCTTGGAACAGGTCTTGGTCTTCTAACGGTGATTCTTCCGGTGGTGTTAGAATGGGGTCCAGTGTTGTAAAAGCTTTGTCGAAATGACTGACGTCCTTTGGTCCGGCAATTGATGGTACAAACGAATTTATAATATTCTTAAAAAGTAACGCACTCCAGTCGACTCCCTGTTAAAAAATAAAAAAAGATTGAAGAAAAATTAGAAAAATAAATCAGGTGTGCCACGATATAAACCAGTAAACTAATAATATAGAACAATGGACATTATATCTACACATCCATAGATGGAATTTATACAACATGGACATACTTTGAAAAAAGGATGTTTCTTGACAGCACTGGCACCAATCCTGGCTCCTAGACGGGATCTGGAATTTTTATTCATAAGCTGCATAAGGGGGGAGGAGAAAGGAAAATGTTATTTAATCTGAAAAACTGAGAATTAAAGGCATTTTCTTGCAGGTCCTGTAAAATCTACCTTTATCAGCTCAGGCTGAATACTTTACTACAGAGCTCAATACACAGTAGGCACCATGTCACAATGGCATCGTGTTTGGTGCCCAGACATTGCTCTGCCCTGATCGATGGGACAAGTCATGCTTACTGCTTGTATTTATTTAATTCCCCAAATATAAGTTTAACTTCTTTTAATCTCTAACTAGACCAATGTATTTGTAACTGCTTGTCCTATTTTGTTACAGCCAATCACACAGTTTTTACAGAGGACCAGCTTTGTTTTCAGAGCTTTACCACTCAAGCTGTCCGAGCCCACATTCACACACAGTGTTAGCAGCTACAACAGAGCGGAACAGGCGGGGGCACGCATCGATCGACCCACAGAATGAAACGTGTCTGTTCTATGGAGCAATGTGCATAATTGATAAGAGTAAAATTCTTCATATAAAAAAAGGAAACAATATAATTCACTTTTTGTAAAATCCTTCCAAACCTCCCCCAATGCCTTGACCCTTTCCGTATACCTTATATGTCACTTTCTAACAACTGTCAGAGTTCAAACAAGGTGATGGGTTGTATGATGTAAGACGCTGAGCTGTGATGTCATACATCATTAAAGCCATACGAGCGGTACTGTTTAGAAATAGAGCTACATGCAGGATCTTTAATCCTGGAGCTTCCAAGAGCTATAAAACCCACCGTCTGCTTATCGCTTACCAGATGTAACTACTAATCTAACAGCTCTCAGACTTCCTTCATCCCAAGGCAGCTCGTCAGCAATCCACTCATCAACAGTGATTGCAAATTCTGACCTCCGCTTACTCAATATGTCAAAATCAGAAATCACTAAACATGCGTTGGCAACTTACACTTTTTATTATTGAAAACGCTTCTACAGACAGGAACTCCGGATAGTCAGGTTCAGTGTTAACTACCTTATATGATATCTCTCTCTCTCGGTCTTTACCTTTAAAGGGAAACTAATAGAAAAAAAAACATTTTAGATGCATATTGTAAGATGCAGAAGTTCGTTTTTTGTGACAAAATATTTATTATCCTGCTAGAAATTGTCACACACATAAAATAAACACTCAATGATATATACTGCAATGAGAGTCATGAAAAAACAACTTATTGATGTAAACCATAAAACACTGTGGCAAGATGACAATATTGTTTATAGCACTCACACTCCTGAGAGCCCATAATCTGCTCTGTGTAAACGGCCCACACAGAGAGGGCACACGGTCTTCTCAAACTGTGCCCACTGTGCAGGGTTGGCCTTGAATCTACAGTGGGTAATTTCTCTAATGTAAATGGTTTTCCAAAGCAGAAACAATAAATGAAATATAAAGAAATTGAGAAAGTATTAAAGAGATAAAATCAGTTTAGATAAAGTGGAGAGGGAGGTATTGGGTTATGATATTTAGATAAGCACTATAATGAGCTGAAGTGGTTATGGTGCTCAGCTTGTCCCTTTAACCTTGACCAGTCTATAGTTTGAAATACTATCAGTTTCATCAATAGACTGGATGACATCACACAAGGATTTTTGGTTTCCTAAGAAGGAATCCTACAAATTGGTAAAAATATGCTATACCTACCCTTCCACACAGCATGACATAAATTACTACGCCCAGACTCCACCAATCAACAGATCTTGTATATGGTTTTCTCTCAAATATTTCCGGCGCCATGTATTCCAGTGTGCCACAGAAAGAGTTGGTTCTATCGATGAATCCCATCCCTCGTAAATAGAGAGAGTATAAATGTACATCGGTAAAGACACAGATAGATGTAGGTTTATTTTGCTGCTATACAGTATGTTACAGTATATTATTTTTAATAATTTCATGTAATTTTTTTCCAATTGATATTAGAAAATTGCTGCAAGGAGTCAGTGTGTTGTATCTGCAGATTCTCTGTGAAATTTCGTAAAATTTTTCCATGGTTTTTACGAATCTGTATTATGTTCCAGCATCTACTCTGACTAGTGTTCCAACCTTGCCTCCCACTGGATATGAATTTGTACAATGGCCCCTTATTTCATTTTACACCAATATTTGATTTCATTCCTTTGTGTTTCATGTATACTTTTATTTTGGTCTGCAGTTGGATGTTATTTGTATGTGGCTAATGTTACATTCTGTAACTTTGTGATAAATTACTTTAGCTAAATATAACATTATTTTTACCTTGTTTGCTAAGACCAAAGTCGGTAATTTTGGCGTATCCGTCCTTGTCTACAACGATATTCCGCAATTTAAGATCTCTAGATTAAAATATAGAATTGGAGTTTTTATTATTTTTTACATATCACTAAAGGGTACTTGGATTACATGGTTTTCTTATTTAGAATAAATAAAAGGTTAGATTTAAGGACGTATATAATTTATGATAAAGTTAACATAATAATATTACTAATTACTGTAATTAAGCCACAGACAATATTTTAATGGCAGTACAGTAAATAAGACAGATAACATTTCTGGGAACAATATATGTATGTCCATCTTTAGTTTTTCCTGTACACTTACCTGTGAGCAATCTTGTTCTGATGTAAAAATTTAAAACCTGTAGAGCAATCTTGTTCTGATGTAAAAATTCGAGGCCGAGCACACAACAGGCCGCATAAAACCTGTAGAAAATAGAATAAGACTGTTTTATCTTGGGGAAAGAAATTGAGTTTTTGTACCATTGGACAGTTTAATTGCACCAACCTCTGTCACTCTATGCTCAGACATATTTCCTGCATTGTCTTGTGTCTGTCTAGGCTTCACTGATAGTGATGTCCCGAACGGTTCGCCACGAACGGTTCGCCACGAACGGTTCGCCACGAACGGTTCGCCACGGACTCATCATTGAGTAAACTTTGACCATGTACCTCACAGTCAGTAGACACATTCCAGCCAATCAGCAGCAGACCCTCCCTCCCAGACCCTCCCATCTCCTGGACAGCATCCATGTTACATTCATTGTAAAGCTGCATTCTTAGTGAGCTGTCCAGGAGGTGGGAGGGTCTGGGAGGGAGGGCCTGAGGCTGATTGGCTAGAATGTGTCTGCTGACTGTGAGGTACAGGGTCAAAGTTTACTCAATGAAGAGTCCGTGGCGAACCGTTCGTGGCGAACCGTTCGGCGAACCGTTCGGGACATCACTATTCACTGAACTTGTAGTCCAACTTAACTTTTGTTTGGTGTTCTGGCTGAGTGATCATAATCCCCAAACTATACTTACATAGCTCTGCTTTCTGTAAAAGATGCCATGTTGTTATTAAGAGTTGACATTAGGTCTCCACCAGCGGCATATTCCATCACAAAGCAGACAAGATCTTCAGTCTGGAAACTTGCGAACAAATTTACAAGGAATGGGTGTCGTATGCGGCTTATGGTCTGAAAGATGTTCTTCTCATATTTAAGACTTGAAAATAAAAATGGAATAACTAAATTAATCACTTTTGCGAACAACAAATAGGACTACCATCCAAAATGTTTCCATTTTAAGTATTCTCCATCCACTGACCAGTCAATAGAATCAGATGCAATTATCTTTCGTTTTTTCAGGACTTTTAGGGCGAACATGGTGTTTGTACCTTTGTAGTCAACAAGTAGAACCTGAACGTTAAAAAATATATATATATTTGTTAGATAACATTTGTTTAGACACCTTTTATTTCTCACTAGAATTGGAATTTACCCGAAACCCACCTTTCCAAAGTGTCCTCTGCCCAGCACAGAGAGACATTGGAAATCCTCGAGGCTCAGTTGTACTCCTAGCTGAATGCTGCAAAGAAAATATATTTTTTTTCATATTTATCGTTACTCATATAGCCCCCATCCTGATGAAAAAACAAATACCCAAAACAACATGCTCCTATAACACACAGTATAAGTTATCATACCGTGGGTCCTGAGACTGTTCCAGATCTTGAAGGACACTGTTTTCCTGATTGGACACTCTGCCATCATGTAGAGGTGTATTACATGGCACTTGGTTTGAAGTGTAGTTCCTAGAATAGTGTTGGCCTGCTCCATAATCCTGGAAAAGAAAATTAAACATTATTAATAACAACGTTTCATTAGTGCTTGTTGTAATAAAATAATTGAGGATCCAATTTATGTACTAAACCCAGAATTTAAATATGTCCATGATTTTATAGAAAACATTCTACACCGAGATTGCAATTATTCCATGTTCATCAATAATGCAGTTTGTGCTAAAGCAGAACAAAAAAACAAAATAAGCAAGGTATAAAACGTTATATCTTTACCTGAGACAGAATATCTGGGATTATAACATGAAGTCCTGGTTGATAGCTGCAAAAAGATGTACGATATGCAACAGGAGACTCTTCTGGTTCAGATTCAGTGTCCGATGATACTACAGGAGAAACGCTTTAAGAAGGAAGAAAACAGTATTTATTTAGATGGCACCTTTTAGATCTGATATCATCAATTCTTTATAGTCAGAGTGTCTTAGTGGAAAATTCTGTAGCATCCAGTGCAATGTTAAAGGGATTCCCCTGGAATATCTATCACTAGGGTTGTAGATTGCCATGTTTTATAGGACACGATGATTATGTATTGTGTGAAATCAATTGATTAATTACAGATGGAATCACAAAGGACCTGCCGTGATTAATTACTGTATTTCACTCTGGTAACAGGTGAATTCCACATTCTGCTGGGAAGAACTTTCAAGTCCCGTCATAAAAAATGTAATTCATAAACGTTCTATAAAAATATTTCGCTATGGTAAACTTACTTGTTACCAACAAACTGTAGACAATGTTAATAAGCATGCTGGGAATTGGGCAGAAAAAATGTTTACTGCCTTAACCTCACCCATCTTACTCTCACACGCAAGTTTTTGTGTACATAAAGAATAACTTTAATAAAAGACAAGCTTATTACATAAATAAAATGTAGTGAGGGGTGGTAAAGGGGAGAAAATAAGGAGTTTATGGTAAATGTGTAGCCGTTTTAACAGCATTGATGAGAAAGATGAATATGTGAAAATACCTAATTGACCATAATGACTCTTGGCTCCCAGTGTTAAACACTGACAATGGAAGAACGTCAATAGCTCCATCCTCTGACACCGATTGGCTGGTCTCTTGTGATTCAGTATTGTCAGTGGGTGGTGATGACTCCACGCTCTCAGTGTCAAATACTGGCAATGAAAGACTGCCAGATATTATATCCTCCTCAGATACTGAGTGGATAGTTTCTTCAGTATCGATATCGACAGCGGGCGGTGATGGAACCACGCTCTCCGTGTCTGATACTGGCAATGGAAGACTACCGGATACTTTCTCCATCTCAGATGCTGATTGGATAGTCTCTTCAGTATCGGTATCGACAGCGGGCAGTGATTGAACCACACTCTTCTTGTCCGATACTGGGAATGGAAGACTGCCATATATTATATTCTCCTCAGATGCTGATTGGATGGTCTGTTCAGTATCGTTAGTGACAGTAGGCAATGATTGAACCATGCTCTCAGTGTCCGATACTGGCAATGGAAGAACGTCAGATGTTATATCCTCCTCTGATGTGGACTTGATGGTTTCTTCTGCATCGGTATCGACAGCTGGTGGTGATGGAACCACGCTCTCAGTGTCTGATACTGGCAATGAAAGGACATCAATAGCTGTATCTTCCTCTGCAGTGGGCTGGAAGGTCTCTTCTATAAAAGTAATACAGAACAAAATATAAGTATTGTATATGATCAGTAGTAAATATATTAATTATATTCATAGCATTCCAAAAACAAGAAAAAAAAGTAACAAAATCTCCAAACCTAGAACTTTGTTTCAGCCAAGATTTCCATATTATAATAACCATGACTCACATTTAATACATTGAAACAATGTTTAGTGTTTAAGAGGACTGGCATCCAATGAAAATAATGAGCTTCAGGTAGGTATAAGTAATGTAATCTGTGTATACTGCATATGGTATAAGATGTACATCCTGCGCTATGGTTGTTATAATGGATGAACATGTATCAGTCTATCTACCTGTAAGAAAATGAAATGTGAAATCCCACACTGGTTACTGAGCACATTCACACTGCTTAACAAGTTTTCTATCACATGGGGGGCTAGTACTGGGGTACAAGGGTTCACTTCTTGTCAGTAACCAAATAATAATCAATTCTGCCTCATAGATGCCTTTAAAGGCCCCTGGGCGGTTTGCTATTTAATGCGAGACATGTTAAACGAACACTTACCTTGTTTTTTGGAGAAGAATTTCTGAATTGTCTGAAGTTTTGGCCTTTTCTGGATGGAAGCATTGGAAAATGTCACCTATTTCAAAATAAAAAACAGCGGGAAGGAAATGATCATATTCTCATTGTGCCAAACCAACATATAAACACACAAAAATGGAAAATAAACAGCTTCAAAACTCTTCCTCTACAGCTAATCACAATAAGCAAAGCCCTTCATTTACTTAAACAGTTTAGCATTTGATACAGTGTCTTTTATCTCAAAAATAGAACATTTCTTAAGATACTATAAGTGGTCATATAGGTAATATGACGTACATTGAAAGGTTTATTCGCTAAACACTGACATGTGTGAATTGTAAACAAAGTTGAGCTAAGTCAAGATGTGACTATAGCAGACATATTTTGCAACTCCATGTACACTTCAGTACAATTTAATATTAAGTCAATAGCCTTTATAGCGCTCTTATATTTTTACATTTAGAGAAATATGTTGGATAAATTAATCATCCTTTTTTTTCTGTATAATTAAAACATTTATAGGTAAATAACTATAAATTGATAGTGGCCAGAGATTGGTTCTTACCTTGATGAAAAGGGTGCCTTGTGGCTCCAGCTGTAGACACAGTTGCTGCTTCCGGTTCACCAGGAATTCTTCCAACTTCAGCGTCTTTGTGGCACACAGTGATCTCCGATCGTGCCAATATAAAGATAATTCTAACTCCCGAGACTATGTACACATTAACAAAAAAAGGAAAGAAAAGTTATCATCTATATCCCTGATTCTATTAAAAAATATATTTATTTCTAAATTAAGATAAACAAACCCAATGTATAATAACTCTCTAAATCATAACTGGATGAAGACACATTAAGGTCCTAAAAGGTTTAGAAAAAGAGTTCCAGTTATACTGACTTAGACAACTCTTTACAGGATATGCAGATTTATGGATTAGTATAAATTCTTCCTGGGGCCACCGATGGATGTTGATTTAGAATGTAATATTCCTACTAACACAAAATAAAAACAATAATACAGGCATCCACTTAGCCTGAAAACTATCACCAAGACAATGTTTTTTGGGGTTTTGTTTTCTATTTTTCACTTAAGTCAATATTTCTGAAAAAAAATGTCTCATTCTAGGGTGAATATACTTGAGTTTAATGACATTCATACCTTATTTAACTCCAGTTTAAATGTCTCATTCCAGGATGGATTAGACACAGTTTTCCAACTGGTTGAACCCACTGGAATATGGTCAATCTTCAGCTGAGCACGGACCTCGTCTGTAAGGAAATTTCAGGAACTCAACTTAAAAGGCTAAGAGTATTTTATTATAAAGAACATTTCTTATTGAGAATGTAATCAACACACAGCAATTGTAAAAATACACCTGGCAATATAAAGTTATTATCTTTAACCAAAGCTCTAGGAGTTTGATTTTATTTCGGGAGTCTATTCTCCTGCACTCCATAAAAAAGAAATTAAACAAACAACACATTTGTAGCTGGCCAGGTGATATGGTTGGAATATAAACAAGGGGAGATATGTGAAATAAAATAATACAAGAACATCGTAACGAAAAACATGTTGAAAATTATATTTTTTCTATTTGGTGAGTAAGGTAGAGGATGAAGTTTGTATGATGAGTCCCAGTATAAATGTATTAAAGTAATTATTATTATCATTTATATTTTCCGCAGCACTTTTACATTTTTTTAATTGGGGGTCAACCTGCAACCACCCAGTACCGAGATATAATTATTCAGGTTGATTTTCCTTTGAGTGGCTAAGTGGAAGAGCAAAAGTTTGATACCCCAGATATTGAGTGCTGTTATTGAGCGTCACTGGACACATAATGGGAATTATAAGATAAAAATCACTGTACTGGAAAAGCCAACAGTCTCTTGGGTGTTCAGACTGCAGACACGGTTGTTTCTTCTGATCCGGCTCATTAATGAGAATCTTCCTCGACGTGTCCTCCTTCCTGGGAGAACATCTGACGGGTCTTTTAGTCTGCCAGGTACATTCTCCAAAATATTGTGACAGCCCTTTACTTTCACTTTCAGGGTACCTGTCAAACAATCAGAATTAATATTGTAACAATGACTATTACATTTTCACTTGTGTCATCACAGGAATATATTAACTCTCCTCTCACCAAATGTTCACTCAATACATTTCCTACAATAATCAAATATCAGATTCCCAAATGGATTCCACCACCAGTTTATCAACTCAACAAAGAAATAGACCTTCAGCAACCATGAAATATGGCTCTTATGTTAAAGGGAACTTCATGGCTGGTCTAAGTAGGAAACACAGAATATTCAATAATAAGGCAGCTTTTACATCCTTATCGGATATAAACCAATCAAAACAGAATTTATAAACAGATAAAAACTCAGTAGCTTCACTTAGTCCCTGCTCGATCCTCAAAGAATGTTTATGTCACTTGTGCCATTATAGAAGAAATCTATATTTGTAGATATTTCTAAACACACACAGGAGTAATTCAGAACAGAATGCAACAAGTCCACGCTATACAAGTTGAAACCACAAGGAACCCACTTCTGGATTAACCTTTACACTTAAGAGGACACAAAGATTACGCCAAAAAAGTAAAACAGAATTCATGAGAATAATTTAGACGATAAAAGAAAAGAAAAAGGAAGGGACTGGAATGGAGCCAGAAGTTGCAGAACCTCCTGATTTGGGGGTTAACCCCGGTATAAATGTACACAAAGAAAAGATGGAGGATGCAACTAGGTGCATATATGACTGAAATACAGTTCAGGGAAATATTAGTTTGTTAAAACTTAACATTTAATAGATTGGCCAAAAAGTCCAATTGGTGGACTATGAAGAACAAAATAACCCACAAAAAATGTATAAAAATAGTGCTATACAAAGAAAAAAAAACGACACACAAAGATAAATATAAATAAGTGTAATGGCTAAAAAAGCGCACTAGACTGGAACCTTAATGCTTTCTCGTAAAGATACGGGATCTGGAAAACATAGGTAGAAGGTGTCAGAGCTCTATATCTATGGTAACTATTTATATTAATATATTATATATTATAAATTTAAATATACTGATGACAGATTATGTGTGTGCTGGTTCCATATTGTTGTCATGTAAAAAAATGTCACCTGTCACCTTTAAATTTGTATTTACGTCATACAGAATTAAGTCTGCTGGAATATCGGTTGACTAACTGCGTGATCACAGTAGACAGACTTCACAGATGGAAGCATGCTCTGATACTTCAATGTTAAATATATTTGTCTTCTTTCCTTTATTGAAATATCTTTCAGAGGCAAAAGAACTTACCCGTTAGTGCAGTGGGCTTGGATATGTCAGAATTGAGGAACAATTCCTCGGTGGTAATACTCTTCCTGGGATGGCTATCAGGAAGTTCTTTCACTAGTTCCTCCATGGAATATTTAAGGAGGTCCAGCTTTTCATTTGCCTGGTTTAATATTGATTGAGCCTGTTAAAAAAGAAATGGAAAAAGAGTGTGGGCAATACTTGCATTGCATTTATAAAAGGTTATAATTCTGTATAGTGCTCAATGTATAACAACTCAGGATTAATCACTAAAGTCTAGAAAGTAGCAAATCAAAATCTGAACCGCAAATATTTAAACAAAAATTAGTGATTTGGAGAAATTCCAATCTTGGCTTTAGTCACAGTGTGTCTATGTTTATCTCAGTTTTGTAATTCAGATTTTAATTCCCTACAAGTCAGAGTTTATTGGAGCGACCGCATTTTAGTAGAAAGTGGCTCTGATGAGGCTAGGAAGCGGGCATAGGTGGAGCAGTAACAAGATTGGTAGATTGGGTCTAAGGGTGGGAGCATATATATAGACGGGCAGCCATCTTAGGAATAGGCAATTTTAATGTATGCACCAACGTGTGAGTACGGTTTGTCACTCTGGTGTGTTCAGACTCTGTTTGGTGGGTTTCCCCTTTTTTCTTTTGCATGATGGTGTCCCTGGAGGAGATGATCCACGGTGTTCATGCAGGTGCACGGATCCGTGGAGAAGATTGGATCTGGGAGAGGCTGGGAGCGATGTTGGTGGCGTCGGCGGAGCCGGAAGGTTGGCTGGGGGACAGGCACACACGTGCGCCTTAGCCCTGGTGGGGCCTCCCCTGTGGTGGGAGCGGGCAATGGAGGGTGCGCAGTGCCCTACTGCATGGCTGGAAGCCAGCGTTCTGGAGGGGGATCTCTTCCAACGCCACCCGGTGTAGACGGCGGAACACGGGGCGGCATGCTCGGAGGACAGTGGGCATGGTTGGAGGTGATAAAGCGGCTCCTTCCTCAACAGGAACAGCATCCGGGGTGCAGGTCCCCGCGGGCAGCGTGCCTTGAAGCAGCAGAACAGGTGGTGCTGCAATCCGGGGTTGTGCACACTGGTGGCGGACGGCGGAAGGCGGGAGCTGGGATTCCTGGTGGTCAGCAGAGACAGCAAGTGCAGTTGGGGTGGCAGCAGGCCCTCTAACCCCTGGGGATTCTGTTACTGAGGTTCCTGAGGGGTTGGGTACCTTCCCTAATGTGCTGCAGGGGGGCCCTCGGCTGGAGGGGCCCCTTGGGAGGTGAGGGCAGGCCCATGACAATGAAGCTGAGTGGGTCCAGGGCCGAGGGTGCAAATCTGGTGGGCGGCTTAGCGGATTATGCAGGCGCATGTAGGGGGGGCACGGAGTTCTTAGGAGATAGCGGGGCATGTCTGGGCTCGGGAAAGAAAGGTGGAAGCAGGCACCCGTGAGATGGGCACCGGGGCCCAGGGTGGGGTGGGGGATCCATCAGCGATCTGGTCTTCTGATGGACATGCACAGAGGGATGGCGGTGGACCACGGGTCCATCTGGGGGGAGGCGTGTTCCTGGTAGGCCAGGTGACATCGGATAGCGATGAAAGGGGGCAGGTGGGCCTGGGGCTGCACTTTGGAACAGACTAGAAAGGCTCGTGGTGCAGTGCAGCTAGTGTCAAGAGACGCAGCCCACAGTGTTTCGTGGGGTGCAAGCCCGGGGTCAGTTGCGAGCAGCTCCTCCGCAGAATGCTGTGGGAGGTGAGACGGGTGCATCAGAGCAGGCGGAGGTTATCTCACAGTCAGAGTTGCAGCCTCAGGGGTCGGATCAGCGGGGCCTCCGCACTCTAGGTGATCGGAGGAGCCTAGGGAAGAGATGGGATGCTTGGAAGTCATGCAAGCAGCCCCGGGATTGCGGTGCGAGGGTTGTGGATGAACGGTGCACCCTGCCCAGGAATTTTTGTTCTCGTTCTAGGTCACTGAGTGGATCATCTTCCAGGTGGTCTCCCCAGTTGGTCCGAAGAGCATGGTGGCATCCTGTTCCTGTTCCGGTGGGATCCGAGGAGCAGCTATGGGGTCTTCAACGAAAGCGGGCTTGGATGGTGAGTCTACCCTTGCACCACACTCACAGATATTGCTTGACAAGTTAAAGCAACTGATAGATTCTTGTAGTGGGGGTGACTCTAGGGGTCCATTGGGGCTTCGGAGGATGCGGTCACGAGTCTTGGGCCCATTGCCACTGGGCACAATGCCGGTGAGGCTAGAAGAGATGTTACCATGGTTAAGCCGTTACGGTAGCAAGGGGGATGTGTATTTGGTGAGGTACGGTTTCTTAAATGTTTTTTTCTATCCCTTTCCAAGACAGGGAAGGGAGTGGGGGGTTGCATAATTTGAAGTCGGCATTGAAACTTCCCTGGGTGGTGCTGGACAATTTGATGAAGGAGGGGCAGTTGGGTAGGATGACCCCTCGCTGGACGGACTGTGGATCTCCCCTCTTAATATTGTGCCCAAAAAAGAACCAGGGAAGTACCAGATGATCCATCACCTGTCCATACCCACAGGGGTCGCCAGTTAATGACGACATAGATAGGGTGCTGTGTTTGGTCTCCTATGCATCATTTGACCAGGTAGGCGAGTTGGTAGGCGACTGCCGGACATCACGCCCGTATGGCAAAGGTGGATGTGGAAGCTGCATTTCGACTGCTGCCGGTTCATCCGGATTGTCATCCCTTGCTGGGCTGCAGTTTTCACGGTCAGTTCTTCGTGGACCAATGTCTCCCGATAGGTTGTTCTATCTTGTGCTCCTACTTCGAGTTCAGCACTTTTTTGGAGTGGGTGGTGCGGCAGGAAGCGGGGAGTCGAGCGGTGGTCCATTATTTAAACGTCTTTTTGTGCATGGGTCCTGGGAACTCTTCATTGTGCCTGCATTTGTTGCGTACCCTTCAGTGGGTGGCCAGATTGTTTGGGTTCCCTTTGACGGCGGATAAGACGAAAGGCCCCATGGACTGTATTTGCTTCCTGGGGCTGGAAATCTATTTGGCAAAGGGTGAATGTCGGTTGCCCGGGGACAAGCTCGAGGGACTTAGGGCTGCAGTGAGGGAAGTGCGTCAGGCCAAGAAGGTCATGCTTCGGGCATTGCAATCACTGCTCGGCAAGCTCAACTTTGCTTGCCGGGTGATTCCCACTGGGCTGGTTTTCAGTAGCGGCCTGGCTCTGGTTTTCAGTAGGGGGCTGGCTCGGGCTACGGCAGTAGTGATGTCACTGCATCACTTTGTATGGGTGACGACGACCATTAAGGAGGATTTGGCAGTTTGGGACGTGTTTCTACGGGACTTTAATGGCACTGTGTTGTTTCGGGAACTGGTGAAATTGGCGGCTGACTTGGAGTTGTTTACAGATGCCTCAGGGAGCCTGGGCTTTAGTGCATACTTCGGGGGTAGGTGGTGCGCAGCGTCATGGCTGACGTTGTGGATGGAAAGACCGCTCATGTGCAACTTGGCCTTTCTTGAACTCTTCCCATTAGTGGTAGCTCTATCGCTCTGGGGGCCTCTGCTCAAGGACAAGAAGGTCATGTTTCACATGGACAATAATGGCCGTGGTGTACGCAGTCAACAACCTGTCGGCATCCTCGGAGCTGGTGGTACGCCTTCTGCAGTGGCTCATTTTTCTGTGTATGTCTCTCAATATTGTTTTTGGCACGTGGCACGTTCCAGGTTATTTGAACAATGTGGCTTATGCACTCTCATTCACAGTGGTCCCGGGCACTGGGTGCACAGGAGGTCAGGGAATTATAAGATGTAGTTTCTCCGGACAGCTTGCTTGGGGGATTCGTGAGGTCGCCCTTGGCCCCGGGAATGCGGTCTGCTTATTGTAAGGTTTGGGGGTCGTGGGAGAGGTCGTTGGGCGAGAGTAAGGGGTCTTCTTTGGAGGGATCACATTTGGACGCACTATTATGGTTTACGTTCCATTTGCTGAGGAAGGGCTCATTGCCTGCGGTTGTGGACAGGCACATGGCATTCAGGTTTAAGTTACATGGGTGGGGGGACCTGACGATACACTTCCTTATTAGACAGGCGCTGAAGGGCCTCCGCAGGGGTTGGAGGGTGCCAGATGCACGTAGACCAGTGTCCGTTTGCCTTTTGGGAGGGCTGGTTAAGGTTTTGCCTGAGTTTTGCTTTAGCAACTATGAAGCACTGCTATTTGGGGTAGAGTTTCACCTAGTGTTTTTTGGGGCATTTCGGGTGAGTGAGCTCGTCAGTGAAGCGACGTTTCGGTAGTTGGGGATAAGGTGATCGTTCCTTTGGCCCATTTGAAAACAGAAGTGTGTGGAAAGGGTACGAATATAAAATTGCACAATTTCCCGGGATCCCTCTTCTGCCCAGTTGGAGGTGGAAAGATACTTGGGGAAGCGTCCGACAGGGGGGTTCCTTTTTGGTCTACATGGACAGATAATCGCTTTCTAGGTTCCAGTGTTTCCGGGTTTTTTAGCTGGGTTTAAGAGTCTTAGGGTTGTACCCGGAACAGTTTGGAATGCACTTGTTCCATATTGGAGCAGATACGGAGGTGATTCAGTTGGTTTGGTGAGGAATTGGTTAAGAGGATAGGCAGGTGGGAATCGGTGCGGTTTCGCTCCTACGTTCGCCTGGGTAAGTTGGTGTGATGGGGCAAGGGGTGCTGGTTCTTGGGTGTGATGCTGAATTTGCATTCTTCTTTCCCTAGGTCATGTAGTATGGACCATTGGGCACTCATACATCTTCTGGGCTAAGAAGAGAGCTTCAGTTCATTTTAAGGGTCAGCAGCTGGGCTTTCCTGAGGACCAGTTGGTGTTAAAATGGAGTGGTTACTGAGGGTTCGGATGGAGATCGGTGTTTCGTTTGGTGCAGGGAGGTAGATGGCCTGATTTTATTGTCTTCCATACAGAGGGTAATGATTCCACAGAGGGACCTGGTTAGATGGATGAAGCAGGATATCAACGGGATTAGGAATGTGGTACCAGGGGTCATGGTCAACTGGTCAGAGATTGTACCGTGACTTCGATGGTGGCATGCGAGGAATGCAGCGTGATTGATCACTGTCGATGTAAGGTGAACAGTTTAATGGCTAGCTTTATTCTGAAGCTGGAGGGGTTGTGGTCAGGCACAGGGAACTGGAGAATAGATTGGCTGGGTATTTCCGACAAGACAACATGCACCTTTCAGAGATGGGTTGGGATTTGTTGAATCTGGGGTTTCAAGAAGGGCTTAGCCAGGCGCTGTTTTAGCAGGGTGGCGGAGCTCAGAAGTCTTAAGGGGTCAAGGTCTGAGCTTGTGGCGGGGCTAGTAAAGGGAAGAAAATGGGGGGATAGGGATTTTGGAGTTAGAAAGGAGCAAGGGGTAGGTAAAAAGAAATGGTGAAATTGAATTGGAGTTATAAGTTGGTTATGGTGTTGGGAGATTTCGGATCCGTAGGTGGCTCAGAACCTTGGAGGAGTGGGGGTATCAGATATACCCTCACCAGTGGGCTGTTAAGAAAATGTTGGCATTGTATTGGTTATGTGTTATATATTATTATATATTATTATATGTTATTTATGGTTAGTCATTGCCCTATTTATTATTAGATCTGCTAAATTATAAGACGGCAATAGGTGGAGGGCAATGACTTTTATTTATTATTATATGTTAAATAAAAGCTGTGGACAATTTTCCCCATACACAGACATGTTGTGTTTTATTAAAGAGGATGGGGATGGTTTGATAGGTACAGATTCACCTGCCCATATGGCGACACTGCATCTGTCATTAAAAAAAACCTGTAAATAACTTAAATGCAGAATGTGTGTATGTATTTTTCTATAGATTAAAGTGGGCAGATCAATGCAGAACACACATGTTTTTGGCTTTTAATAAAACTAAAGGGAATTAAACAATTGGGAGAATTTTAAAGGGACACTATAAGCGCACAGACCACTTTAGCTCATTGAAGAGGTGTGGGTGCAGGGTCCCTGTCCTTCTTAGTCATCTTAGTCCTGCAATGTAAATCATTGCAGTTTTTGAGAAACAGCAATGATTACATTACAGGACTAAGACTACCTCAATCAGACAGCCAGTAGAGACTTTTGATTAAAGCGACATTTGTAGTCTGATGCTGGACGCCCTCACGTTCTGTACGCTCTGCACTGAAGCAATGCTTTTCCTATGGGGAGGGCCTAATTCACTTGCGGTGCTCGCCATGCATGCGCAGTAGCCACCCCTCCAGATATGGGGTAAGTGTTAAAAGGGATTTTGTAACACGGGAAGGAGAAAGGGCGTGAGGTAGGAGGCGGCCAGTGGGAACTAGAGTGTATGGAATACAACTTTGTTTGCCTTACACTATAGATTCCCTTTAAATAAAGCATTATAGAGACAGAATAAAATACAGAACAAATGGCCCCACAAAGACTTCAAACAATGAAAGTCTTAGAAAAGATAATATAAATGTGTCATTTGTATATTATTTATCAAGCAGAATTTGTTGGCGCTTTATATAATAATAATAATAATAATAATAATAATAATAATAATAATAAACCATGGCTACTTGGCTAATGCCAACAAACCCCCAGACAGACATTGAAAGCCCATTCTTCATTCATGGGATAAAATGGCTAAAAGAATAAACTTTATAACTGACCTCAACAAGTGGCTTTCCATGATCTAATGCCTTGATGGCACGTTTGGCTCCTTCAGCCACGGCACGCTCGATCACAAAACGGTGGCCCAGCTCCTCAATGCGTTTCTCCAATGTGCTTATAGCAGGTGTTGCTAGGAGACAAATTACTATATTTTATTATATTAATGGTAAAAAGGAAATTGACACCCATTGTGGAATAACTCATCTCATAAGGTTTCACTCAAACATTATTGAAAAATAATGTAAGAAATAACAAATGAATCATAGATGCTTTCCCTCTGTATCTTACCTTTTCCTGTTTTTTTCAAGTGTGGTGTGGTCCCTTAATGATGTGTAGTCGGATATGTGATATGGATATGATATATGGTTACACATTTACATATGTACTTAAATGTGTTAGTGGTATCCACATAAGTCCATCCTTGCAAGCACGCTGTCTTGGTGTCATACTTGATTCTGGCCTCGCCTTTGAATCTCACATATAGTGTGTTGCCAAATCCTGTAGATTCCATCTTACAAACATAGCCCGCATCCGCCCCTTTCTTACGTAAGATGCTACCAAGGAGCTTGGACATGCTCTAGTAATTTCCCGCATGGATTATTGTAACCCTCTCCTGATTGGTCTACCTTACATACCTATCTCTTGCATTCTCATATACGACAGCACTCTACTCTCTGCTTCACTCCCTCCTTATTTGGTTGCTATTTCCTGTCCTAATGTGTTTTATACCCCACATCCTATATATAGACTGTAAGCTCGTTTGAGCAGGGTCCTCTTCAACCTATTGTTCCTGTAAATGTTCTTGAAATTGTCTTATTTATGGTTAAATCCCCCCTCTCATAATATTGTAAAGCGCTATAGAATATATTGGCATCATATAAATGGTAATAATAATAATAATAGCACACACGCAAAGTGTTTTAATGTACCTGGATGTTCCCCTGCTCGTTGCTCGATAACATCGATAACTTGTGTTTCGCTGACCTGAAACGGCAGAAATAAAAAGAATCAGAAACCCATATGCTCTTTGCCAGAAGAAAAGGCTCACAACGTGTTCGTGTCTCAGTGTGTGCTGTTCCTACTAACACCTTGCACCCAGTTACTATGTGCTGGATGGTATGGGAGGACTCTGGGGTCGGCACCCTGGGTCCTGTCTGCTATGGTTGACCCCGCTTCTATTGATCTGGTGCTGAGTGTCTGTTCCTGTGTCTCAGTGCTGTCTTTCATTCCTGATATATTTATTATATACATATACAGGATATATGTTTGTGTAATCCTCCTAATAACAAAACTCTATAATACTTCCACATGACATACCAGTAACTGAAATGAATAAAGGGCAAGGGGTTCATACCACGAAAACTGATACAGTAACCATATGCTGTCACTGTGTTTGGGACATTAAATACTGAGTCATGAAAGGGTTAAATATTGAGGAAAGAATAAAATGATAGATCTGTGTGTAACCCCCCAGTGTTCCCCATTAATAATCATATAAAGGGTCCCATCTGTATTCTCTTTCTCCCCCATCCTAGACTACACTGGGGATTTAACATGATAAAACTCTCAGATAATAATATGTAGAACTGGAACCTTATACAGAAAATCAAGTCTTTTACTTACATCACAGCGTACACATGAAAAACACGAGAAAATAGTTCTACTATCTCCCATATTTAGCTACGTTATCACCACAGCAGCTAAGCAGTGTCTACTGTCTAAGCAGTGTCTACTGACTGAACTGTGCTCAGCAAGGATGATGTCACAGTGATGTCACAGGGAACAATCAGACTATCTATAGCTATCTCTGCCTTGCAGTGTCTACTGACTGAACTGTACTCAGCAAGGATGATGTCACAGTGATGTCACAGGGAACAATCACACTATCTATAGCTATCTCTGCCTTGCAATGTCTACTGACTGAACTGTGCTCAGCAAGGATGATGTCACAGTGATGTCACAGGGAACAATCACACTATCTATAGCTATCTCTGCCTTGCAATATCTACTGACTGAACTGTACTCAGCAAGGATGATGTCACAGTGATGTCACAGGGAACAATCAGACTATCTATAGCTATCTCTGCCTTGCAATGTCTACTGACTGAACTGTACTCAGCAAGGATGATGTCACAGTGATGTCACGGAACAATCACACTATCTATAGCTATCTCTGCCTTGCAATGTCTACTGACTGAACTGTACTCAGCAAGGATGATGTCACAGTGATGTCACAAGCAACAATCAGAATTTGACACATCACAGGTCCACCCATCATAATAAAAAATAAATCCATCTATTTTTCTATCTCTATCTATCTATATACACACACACACATATATAGTTAGAGAGAGAGAGAAAGATATTTATTTAATAACATTATTATTATTATTATTTCAATCTGTTTGCTTACCTACTATTCTAATTATCCAAATGAAAGTGAAAAAGTGAAAATTGATCCAAATGAAGATTTTTTTATTGTTTATTTTTTCATTTAGAAAAAGGCTATTAGTACAGATTTTAACAGGAACTGGATAGAAAAAGATATTTTTTTTAACATTACAAATAATAGAGAATTAGTTATTGAAGTAATAAGCCAGGAATAACTATATGTTTTTATTTTAATAAACTACGTTATAAAATAAGGATTGATCCCTTAATTAAGATAATTTCACCATTAAACCCCAAATGTGTATCAGATAAAAAATGTAAAAACTAATTTTGTAAAATGCTATAGAAGGGACCGATCTAATGAATATATTGTAAGTGTAGAAATGGGAGGGACGTTGTTGTGGGTTGCATGTGGTGTAAGCTGTGAATAGGGGCTGTACATGGATAGAACCATACTAATCATTTAGATTGGGCTATCTACGTTCTCTGAATAAAAGAGCTATAATGGCTAGATCTCAGCTCAGGGACAGGGCCCTCTTTACCGTTTGCATTGCTCTGTGTATGTTGTACAGCGCTGGGGAATATGTTGGCGCCTTGTAAATGGCAGTAATAATTAATCATATATTACGTACATACTTTCTGTATATGCGGTGTCCTATTTACTTTAGGATTAATATTTCCAAAATTTGTTGTTTTATTATTATTGGATACACAGTAACAGAGGGGTTGAGGGCCCTGCTCTATGAGCTTACATGCTAGAGGGAGTGGGGTAAAAGGTAAGGATGGTGAGAGGAATCAGTCGGGAGCTATTAACATTTTAATCTTTATGGAGAAGTGGGTTTTTAATGACTATGTTTGAAGAAGTGGAGACTGGGTAAGCATCTAACGGAGGAGGGAAGTGAGTTCCACAGCCCTGGAGAAATCTTGAAATCTTGAAGGCGAGCATCAGAGGTGGGAGTACGGACAGAAGATAGACATAAGTCTTCAACAGAGCGTAAGGGTCTAGACGGGACATACTTGTGTATTAGTGAGGATAGATAGGTGGGAGCAGCATTATGTAGAGATTTGAAAGCAAGAACCAGAATTTTTGTATATCTTACAGGAAGCCAATGTAGGGACTGACAGAAGGGTGAGGTATGAGAGGTGCGGGTGGACAGGAAGATGAGCCTCGATGGAAATGACAGGATTTGGTGATAGACTGAACATGAGGCGTGAAGGAGAGGTCTGAGTCAAAGAGAACACCTAGGCAGCGAGCCTGCATGGTGGAGCTGATGGTAGCACCGTTGACTTGGAGGGAGGAAAGAATAGAATTTCAGTTTTGGTCAAGTTGAGTTTAAGGAAGTGGGCAGCCATCCAGTTATAGCAGAGAGGAAGTCAGAGACACTAGTTAAGAGGGACGGGGAGAGATCAGGAGAGGACAGGTAGATTTGCTTGTCATCCGCATAGAAATGATATTGGAAGCCAAAGGAGCTAATGAGTTTACCAAGGGAGGCAGTATAGATAGAGAACAGTAGGGAACCAAGGACTGAACCTTGGGGGACACCAACAGAGAGGAGTTGGGAAGAAGAAGCAGAGCAAGAGAAAGAAACTCTGAAAGAGCGCTGGGAGAGGTAGGAGGAGCACCAGGAGAGAGCAATATGTTATAGACCAATATTGCGGAGGATGAGAAGAAGCTGTTGATAATCAACAGTGTCAAAATCCGCAGACAGGTCAAGGAGAATTAGGATAGAGTAGTGACCATGAGATTTTGCAGCGAGTAGATCATTGGATACTTTGGTCAGTGCCGTTTCCACAGAGTGCTTAGCGCGGAAACCAGACTGGAGGGGTTTTTTTTTTGTCTGTGTCCAGCGGTTTGGTGTCCTGTGAGAGAGACTTAGATAGTCTAGATAGATTAAGGAAACATGTTGAATAAATGAGAAAGAATAGCAGCTCTTTTTTAATGCAGACTATAATGGCATTAGATATTAATAGAGTTGCTGTTTTTAAATAGCATGTGTATAAATTAATTTTCTTGTGTGTATTTGTTTTTAATATTTGTGAAAAATATTGTGAAATTAAAATTATATCACAAAAAAAATCTGATTGCCAAAGAGAATACAAAAGTCACAAATTAGAATAATCATTAGCAATGTGATTGTCAATACACCTTTGTCATAGTGTCACTTAGTTTCCGTTTTCGAGCCTGTGAGTATGTGATCTTTTCCCATTTTAGTTTGTTGGATGGAAACTTCCAGTTAATGGACCTGTGAAGAACTCTTTGATTTTGCATAAAGTATGCATAAATGAGGTGCTGTTGAGTTAATTACAAAGAACAAATCTTTTCAGATTTAGTTAGGCACAGATGGGGATTGAACCCATTATCGAAACCAACGCTTTACCACTTGGCCACTGTGCAAGAGCACTGGGAGAGGTAGGAGGAGGGTTAGGAGTAGGGTTAGGGTTAGGGTTGGATGAGAGTAGGGTTAGGTTAGGGTAGGGTTAGGGGAAGGGATAGTAGTAGGGTTAGGGTAGGGTTAGGAGTAGAGTTAGGGTACCTCTACCCCTAACCCTAACCCTACTCCTAAACCTAACCCTACCCCTAACCCTACTCTCATCCAATCCTAATCCTAACCTTAATCCTAACCCAACCCTAACCCTACTCCTACCCTAACCCTACCCCTACCCTTTAACCCTACCCATTATCCCTACCCATTAACCCTACCCCTTAACCCTACCCTACTCTTAAACCAACCCTAACGCTACCCTACCCCTAACCAACCCCTAACCCTAACCCTACCTCTAACACTACCCCTAACCCTACCCTAACCCTACCTCTACCCACTAACCTAACCCTACACTTACCCGAAGACCTGAAGTTCGAAGTGCCGAAGTCCCGAATTTGGGAATGCTGAACCGAACCGAATAATTTTCCCATGCACAGCCCTACTGTTTATGCATGTATTTTACATGTATTATCATTGATCTTGACTCCTTGCTCCCCCTTTTAGGTTGTCTACATCTCTATACTAACACTAAGAATATGTCTACAGTGTCTCCAGATCTGACTTATGGAGCTTTAGTTTATGTGTTTGTTGGTTTTATTTGATCTATTCTACGTATTACAATGGTACTTGAGGCACATAACCCATCACACTTAGCCGCTCACATGCTGTAGTGTATATTTCACCTATTTTTCACTGTTTTTACATTCTCTCGCTAAGTTTTTAGCACTCGTCTCACACACACACATCCTCTCTGCCGGCTTGTTTGCCCTTTACCCGGACATGCTTAATTTTTGTTTCCTCCGTGTATGGGTTTCGATTGTTAGACTTTATGTGTTCTATTCACTAGTTTCTCCTTACCTAGCAACCACGCCTGCTGGGAAGCATGCTGGTTTGCATAGCAACAACGTTCACTAACGAACGCTTCCTGGTGACACATGGAGTCCGACGCCTCTGGGTGGTTCAGTCTGCAGGCTGTCTTCTTACTTAATTTACAAGTTAATTTTGATATTGGCTATATATTTGTGTGGATCTTGATAAAGACCTGAATGGGTCGAAATGTCTTTTGTTTGTTTGTTTGTTTGTTTTTTTGAACAGTTGACATTGTTTTAAAAAATGTTAAATACAGATTTTTGGATTTGAAGACCTTGAAAATATCAGTGTTCCTGACACTGCAGGTTCCCATGTTGCTGAAGCGGTTAAAACCCTTTCAGTGACTTACCTGAATCCAGCGCCAATGTCCCTCGGTGCTGGGTCAGGTTTCACAATGGCCGCGCGCATTAGGACCCCCCCATAGGAAAGCATTACTCAATGCTTTCCTATGGGGATTCCGGCAATGCTGGAGGTCTTCATGCATAGCGTGAAAACGTCCAGCATCGTTTAAAACACTATTTGTGTTTTAAGAAGCCGGAAGTCCCTGTAGTGGCTGTCTGGTAGACAGCCACTAGGGGAGGATTTAACCCTGCAAGGTAATTATTGTAGTTTATAAAAACTGCAATAATTACACTTGCAGGGTTAAGGGTGATGGGAGTTGGCACCCAGACCATTTCAAAGGGCAGAAGTGGTCTGGGTGGCTTGAGTGTCCATTTAACTAACTAAAGTCTAGTAATATACAAGAACAAAATGAATATACACAAATCAAGATTTTATATAACCCCTAAGAAAAATGGAAACCAAATTACATGCATATTTTCTTTGTGGTATATCTACAAACTGCTGTAACAGTGTGCTACTTTAAACCATTTTCTACATTTCAACTAGTTAGCAGTTAAAATAGTGGATAAAATGTTCCCTTAACCTAAA